AAAATTATTATTTTTTAATTAAAAATTTTAGATAACTAGAAATCTAAACATAGTTAACCATTTTTTGCAGCAAAAAGAAAGAAAGAAAGAATAACACATTTCCATTTTTATTTATTAAAAAAGATGAAACGAGAAGTCGGAAATAAAAACGTTACCTAAGTTATTGGGTCGAGTTATAAGTTGAATGGGTCGGAAGGGAACCCGACCCGCAAGTACGGACAATTTTACCCTTTACATTTCCATTTTATTATTTTTAAAAAGTTTTTACAAATTCCGCAATTTACTGAGAAACAAAAAATTTTCAATTTTGGTTGTGAAGAGAGAGAGAGAGAGACAGTGAGAAGAGAGGGCGTTGGGAAAGCGGCTCTTCTTTCTTCGCTTCTCTCAAACCAAACGAACTCTTCCTTTTCGGCGCTCTAAATTCTAAATTCTCATAAGGTGGAACAAAGCTCAGCTCCCACAGGCTCCTCCATCTCTGTAAGCCCATCAATTCCCTCCAATTCTCTCTATTTTTGTTCCTTTTCCAAGAAATTCTGACCCCTTTTGTTGTTTTCTTCAATTTCTCCCCCCGATTCCTTCAATCCAACCTCCCCTTCCGTTTTGTAATGTGGGTCGTCTTCTACGTTGCCTAATTTGATAGATTTTTGGTTCTTGACTTTCATCGCTTCTGCTCTTGCGAACTATGTTTTTTGGGGTTAGGGTTTTTGACGTCTCTATGTGGTGTTAGGGTTTTCGCGACGCGAGGTGGTTGACGAAGGAGGTTTTGGGATTTGGGTCCTTCTGCTGCTGCTGGAATTGTTGTTCCTTAGGTATTTTTTTGTTTTCTGTTTTTAATTTTGGATCCTTGGTGAAAATGTGTGAGATGCGCTTAATTCTCTATGGGGCTTGAGGCTTTTGGCTGGACTTGGGGCAATGATAAGATATACATTTGAGATTTTCGTTGGTTTTCAACTTTGTGGTTAGAATAATTGGTTAGATAGTGATGTCTATGAACAATAATAATCCGCCGAAGAGCCTGGGGGCGGCATCTTCATCGCCTTTTGGAAATTCTGGAATAGTTCCACCATCTATGGCGGCAAATTCGACCTTTTCCCAGCCGCAAGCTCAACCCCAATTAGGAGCTGGCTTTCAAACTCCATTTCAGCTCTCCCCAGCTCAGGCTTTTGCTCAAGCTCAGTTAAAGGCTCAAGTTCATGCCCAAGCTCAAGCACAAGCGGCTCACGCCCAGTTTCAAGCTCAGTTACAAGCTCAGGGGCTGTCCCTAACTCAGAGTCAGACTGTTGGTGGTGGGAACATGGGTTCTCCTTCACCAGGATTTTCCACGCCCGGCCTTGCAGGTGTGAAGCGGATTCCTCAAAAGCCACCAGTTCGGCCTCCTATTCTTTCTCCCTCTACCACGTTTTCGCCATTGAAAACAATGGAAATCACGCCTGCTGCTCGCAAAAAGAAGCAGAAACTACCGGAGAAGCAGCTTCAAGACAAAGTTGCTGCAATCTTACCCGAGTCTGCTCTCTACACTCAGCTGCTTGAGTTCGAGTCTCGTGTTGATGCTGCTCTTGCAAGAAAAAAGGTCGACATCCATGAGGCGCTTAAAAATCCGCCTTGCATTCAGAAAACTCTTCGGATTTATGTCTTCAACACATTTGCAAATCAAGTTAACACAATACCCAAAAAACCAAATGCAGACCCTCCTACCTGGACCCTTAAGATAATAGGTAGAATCTTGGAAGATGGGATCGACCCTGATCATCCCAGTGTGGTACAAAGATCAAACCCTTTGTACCCGAAGTTTTCATCTTTCTTCAAGAGAGTAACCATTTCCTTGGACCAGAGGTTATATCCAGACAGTCACATTATTGTATGGGAGAATGCGCGGTCACCTGCACCCCATGAGGGCTTTGAGGTGAAGAGAAAAGGGGATAAAGAGTTTTCGGTTAACATTCGGTTAGAAATGAATTATATTCCAGAGAAATTTAAGCTGTCACCTGCTTTAATGGAAGTTCTTGGTATTGAAGTCGATACCCGCCCAAGAATAATAGCTGCAATCTGGCATTATGTAAAGGCTAGAAAACTTCAGAATCCCAATGATCCATCTTTCTTCCATTGTGATCCGCCTCTTCAAAAGGTCTTTGGGGAAGATAAGTTGAAATTCACCATGGTTTCACAGAGAATATCACAGCATTTATTCCCTCCGCAGCCTATACATCTGGAGCATAAGATTAAGCTTTCGGGGAATAGTCCAGCGGGTACGGCATGTTATGATGTGTTGGTTGATGTACCTTTTCCAATTCACAGGGAACTGTCTGCATTATTAGCCAATGCAGAGAAGAACAAGGAGATTGATTCATGTGACGAAGCAATCTGTACAGCTATAAGAAAAATTCACGAGCATCGTCGGAGACGTGCATTTTTCCTTGGGTTCAGTCAGTCCCCAGTTGAGTTTATTGATGCCCTGATTGAATCTCAAAGCAAGGATCTGAAACTTCTTGCGGGAGAAGCTAGTCGGAATGCTGAAAAGGAGCGCCGGTCAGATTTCTTCAATCAACCATGGTTAGTTTTTTCTCAATTCCAACTGTTGTTTTTACATCTTACTTACCCTTGGATTCATTCACAGTTCATAGGTTAGTCAGTGGATTTGCATCTTTTCTCCTTTTTTTTGCCTCATTTTTTTGTGGATTCAACCTGAAAAGATATATATTCGTGAACCTCCTCCTGCTCTGGGTAGCTGTTTTATTTTTGCATCATAGACGAGTTATTTTTCTTTATGTTGTTCTTTGTCTTCTATTTTCAATAAAGAGATTATTCTACAAGCTCTTCAGAGTTGGATCTCACACAAAATTTTCAATGGGTTAAGAGATTTTCTAATATGGCATACCTATTGCTCCTTTGATCACTTTTGAGCTTGATTTTAAATCTTATGGTTTATTAAACAGGGTTGAAGATGCCGTAATCCGATACATAAATCGCAAACCCACGACAGGAAGYGATGCACCCGGAAGTACATGACTGGGACCTTGTCGAGCTGCTATGGAATGCCATTTTTGTTGGGAGTTTCATGGGATTAGCGAGCTAAGATTCGTGTAAGACACCCTTTAGTTTAGTAGCAACTGCGCGATCGTCTCGAACGCTWTGCAAATACTTCATGAACACATATATATGGTATGCCAATTCCAGAAAACATGCTCTTTAGTCTTCTTTGCTAGCAGTAATCATCAATTAGCTGGTGATGAGAATGCTTTATGAACAACATATGGATTCTTCATAGTCATTTAAAATTTTCTTAGAGAGCATCCTTTAATTGTAGTATGGAATATTTCTTGTAATAGAATCTGCATCCATATAAAGTTGAGAATTTTTTCTAGTAAAGATTTGTGATGGTAAACAGTCCTTGAACTCTTCGAGCACGGTTAAATTACAAGTTTAGTCCTTAAACTTTCAAGGTTTTTCATTTAGAGCTATTAGATACTTTTTAAAAGTTAAGTATTATCTTGATCCATATATTTTGGTTTATTTTGGTCATTTTACTCTTAATTTTGTTGTTAATTTTAGTCATACTTTAAAAAATTGATTACTTTTGATTCATTCATTTTTGTTTTTTATTTTTATCTTATTTCTTTCCGTTATAATTCATGACAGTTTACTTTGGTATTAATTTGTAATTGAGGATTTGCATTGCATATAATATTTGTGTTAAATTTTTGCAAGAGGGGTCAAATTGGTCAATTTTTAAAAAGTAAAAGGATAGAAATAGGATATTTTSAAAGTACAACGATTAAAAAAATTGAAATATAAAGACCAAAATAAATGTTCGGAAGTTATAAAGTCTAAAATAAATCAAATGGAATAAGATAATATTTAAATATTTTTAAAATTCAAATACATTAAATATGATATYTCGAACACTGAACTTGTAATTTGACAATTTTCTATCCCATTTATTTTTTTAATTTTGTTAGAATATTTAAAAGATGAGATCCTTTTTGAAAGTTGAGAAGGCCCATATGATTCAGCCACTTGATTTGTCTTCTGTTTATCTGTCTGTGAGGAATCTTCCGGGGAGAAAATATTAATAAAAGTTAAATTATCTATTTTTTTTAGTTTAGTTCCAATTCGGTCATCTTGGTTTGGTTTTATTAAAAGTTCTAATTTCGTCTTCATTTTGGCTGCATTTTAATTTGATATTTATGATTTGATTCTACTCGAACTTCACAAATCATTTTTAAGGCATCTTTTATGATATTATTTTCTTATTTTAAACTGGTTCTAAAATGTAAAACAATCAACTAAACAAAAATATTAGCTTTTATTTAAACTTATGATCTTTTGGTCAGAGACAAATGTTAATTACCGCTTAGCTAAATTTATGTTGGCAAATAAATATATTAGTTTATTATTACATAAAAAAATCAATCATTATATTGGCAAATAAAAATATATATCTCGTTTTCGCTTTGAGACCAAATAAAAAAATATTCATTTATTATTACATAAACAAAAAAATCAATCACGCGTACATTAAGAGCAATTGATGAGGCTTGGTTAAACGAGCAAATTAAAATTTTGAATTGCATATTTACATTTAATGTTAAAAACAAAAAATAGTGAAATTAAGAGAATCAATTCTGTCATCCGTCCAATCATTTTCTGCCACGTGGAATGTAATGAAGATTTTCAAATTGGGGAATTTTTCTCTCTTAAACCGGCCCTCTCTCTCCTCTGAAACAAAACTCTGAAGCCGCCGGCCATGTGGGCCGTCAACAGCGGCACGAAAACCGGGTCGTCCACAGCGACGGGTCTGATTCTGAACCGGCCCAGAATTGAAGCCACCACATANACAAACTCTCGGACCGGCCTGAAATATCGGAAATTTGTATGGACTCACCAACTTCACCCGGCCATCCGGTTCGGCCAGCCACCGGCCCGGTTTAAACTCGAACCGGTCCTTCCCCCACAATGTCTCCATCCTCCCCATCCCATATGGGAAATACGTGACTCGGTCTCCAGCCCGAACCGGAGTCCCATCTGGCAGTCGATCACTGGCGACAGCATGCTTGGAATCCTAGGCGACAGGTGGATAGATTCTCATGGTCTCGCAGAGGCATGCTTTGAGAAATTTGAACTCCTTACAAGATTTGAAATCTAATTTTTTTGATTCTGAGTCGTGAATCTCCTCGACTAACTGGTTCTCGATGATGGGATGACGTGAGAGTAACCAAAATAGCTATATCATGGCGGCCGACGTCGTGTCTCGACCGGCCATGATGAAGTTTATGGCCATGTCTCGTATCACTTCATCTTTATCGTCACCCAAAATTAACCTGAAAAGATATATTCTATCACTAATATATTCGAAGTTGATGTACATGGTAGTGGTACTAATTTGAAAGTTCAAAGACGTAAATAGAATAAACAAGAAAACTTATGAACTAATTAAATTTAAACATTTTGTTTGTCTCTAGTTTTTTATTTTTTATAAAAGACTGTTTTAATCCTTATTAATAATTTTTCTAGGAAAATATTTAACAAAAGTTTGGCAAAAATATATAGATAAAGTAGATATAATATGTTGATAACTATTAATAGTAGATTCAAATGATTTTTGTTCATAGTGTTTTATGCAAAGTTTTAATTAGAATTCAAATGATTCGAAACAAAGCATTTAAAAGTTAAGTAGAAACTAATGAAATAGCAAGAAAAACTTAGAAACCAAAATAGGATCTAAATTCTAAAAAAAAAATCTAAAATAATTAATCTCTTTCAGTACTTTATGATTTTTTTTAAATTTCTTTGTTTATGAAATCAAGATATAATAAAACTAATACATCATTTATTGACTTATTTGACTTCCTACACTTGATTAAGAATATATTGGAGAAAAAAAAAGTACAAAAGATCAACTTTTGAATAATGCTTCATTGGAAAAAAAAAAGTTTAAAAAATTAAAAGAGTGTGTGTACTAACAATTTTCTTTTGTCGTTTAATTACCAATTTTCTTAATGTCTTTCAAACCGTAAGAAAAAAAAAATAATTTTGATTATATTTCAGAATGATTTTTTAACTCAGTTAAATAAATAAATTATTAGAGATTCGTGATCGTACCTTGAGAAAAATGTTTTTTTTTCTTCTAAAAGCACTATATAGAGGTGTTTTTCTAATTTTTATAAGAAAATTTTATATTATATGGCAAAAATATTATTATTATTTAAAGAAAACGACAATACTTTTTTTTTAAGAAAATCTCGCTAAGTTTGATTTTCTTTATTCAATTTTTTTAATTCAAATCAAATTATGTTGTGTGTGTGAAGTTTTAAACTTGTTAGTTGTTACTATATTTAAAATACATATATATTCTTTTATTTTTCGTAATTTATCATTTTTAACTATCTGACAAAACATTATGAAAATAAAAAAAAAATGTTTGCAGTCATTTCAACTCAAACTCACCTTATTACAACCTACTTTTTTTTTTGTCATTTGAGAAAACTAAAAATTAAATCATTAACAAAAGAGACCTAAAAGCTTTTTTCTTTTTTCTTTTTTTTTTTGAAATTTTAAGTTTTTTTTTTAAATTGAAATTTTAAGTTTTGAGCAAGATTTTAAAACATTTTATGAAAAAAACATAATAAACAAAAAAAAGTGGGAAAATATAGTAAAAACAAAAATAAAAATTTCATTGTTATTAATATTATATATTGAAAAATTAAATATTGTTTTGGTTCCGACGTTCCTTTTGATCCTTGAATTTTAAAAATGTTTATTAAGATCCCCGTACTTTCAATTTTGTTCATTTTAATCTCCATACTTTTCAAATATTTATTTTTATTACTATACTTTAGAAAATTGACTATTTTAATTTTTTATTTTCAAAATGTTAACACAAATTTTATACAAAATAGAAATACTTCAATATAAATTTATGACTACATTTAAAATATTTAATGTGTGACGAAATACTATGCTAAAATTATGATGAGACATAGAAAATGAAAATGAAGGGATTGAAATGATCACTTTTTAAAAGCATAGGGTCTAAGTTTAAAATAAATGTTTCGAAAGTACCGAAAAAACTATAGCATATGTGCAACAAAGTTTTTATAATATTATTATATAATTAATATGATATATGCATAAAATAAAAATAATATTTTAGTATATGTCTGATTTTATGATCATATATATATGTAGTTGGTCACCTCTCACCTGGACAAGAGATCTTGGCTATGGCTGTCACCCAAATCTTGGATCTTCTTGTTCTTTTTTCTTCTGTTCTGGATTATGGTCATCACTTTCCGGTGAACCTCCGCCACCGCCTCCCTCAACCGCCGCTCCGATCCGACCCCGAACCATCTTTTAATCTTCCATATCACGTAAAGTGGCTCCATTGCCCGCCTCGCGCTCACCTCCGACGCCACATCGAAGCTTTTTTCCAGTGTTGGAATGACTTCTTCATTTCCCAACACCATCTTACATATTACTCTGAATGTAAATCCTCTTAATAACTCCTGTAGTTCAGTGACCGATCTAGAAATTTTCTTAATTTGACATTTTGTATAGAAAGAAAATTTTTTAATTTTAAAGTTTAGTATTTAGGTAATCTGTCTCTACAGTTTAAAAAATTTTAGTTTAGTTTAAATTTCTTATGGTTAAAATTTTTTCAATTATAACATTCTTATGGAATTTGAATGTGGCTAATACACTACATTATTTTTAGTAAGGTGATAGAGATTTAGAGATGAATTGAGACACGTGGGGAAATTTCTTTCATTCCTCCAAATTTCTATCTAAAAAGCTAGTAGAAAAATGTGACTTTTTCAACTTTAATTCTTCTTCTAAATTTATGTTAATTCATTGAGTATGATATCTAATAGCTAGCCTTACTATTATCAGACCAGATTAAAAAAAAATGTTAAAATATGAGAGCAACATCAACTAAACCAAGAAAAGGTTAAAAATCACTGTTAATGAAGTAATTAACAAATTAGTCAAAGAACAAGWATTTAAAAATTTAGACCTTTGCAGATTTTAAAATTTGTAACGATGTAGTATCTATTTGAAAAATGTTGTTAAGATCTTATGAGATTTCTTATATATAGATTTGATAAAACAGTAAAAGACCATGTGTTTATAAATTATAATGACTAAGTCATTCCATAATAAAAATTGGAAAAATAAAGAGATAAATGTAAAAATAAAGATTTTTTTATCAATTTTTCAATAATGATGAGAGCAGGTATTCTCTTGACATTTAAATTAAATTATTAACGTACCAAATTAGTTGATGCTAAACTAATACCAATTCAAAATTACACGAAATAGATATTTTTCAATCTAAAAAACACTCAAATTTTAAAACATATATTTAGATAGAAAATAATTGGCTCGTTAACTGCGGG